CAATTATTTTCACTTTTGAGCAGACACGCAGCTTTTGTTTACAAAAGAACGACACTTTCAGAGTAGTGATTTAAAAATGTTGCAACATAGAGGTTATGCAGAAAAGATGTAAACAAGGAAATGGGCTTTAGTGTTATGTTGCACTACCCAACATTTCTGGATTTCAAAGAAGATAGAGCAGAAGTTAATTGACGTTGAAATACTATAGTGCCAATGTCTATGACATATAATAAGCTGTTGACTGAAAAGTTGCTGTCTCTTTACCATAAGGATTACAAGGATTTGTTGACTGTTGATCTGTTCAGCATTTATCCTCTGTCACGTGTTGACATTGTAATTCGTTATATCGAGGTAGATTTTACGTTTGGGCTTCCAGATTATGTTTGTTATATCGAGGTTCGTTATATCGAGGTTCTATTCCATACATTTTACTGTAACTTTGGCCGGGACATATAATATCATTCGTTATATCGAGGACTTCATCAAATAGAGGTTTGTTAAATTGAGGTTCCACTGCATAACTCTAGGTAATCTCTTGTGTTCACTGGCCTTACAATATTTTGAAATAAAATTTAACACTTGAAGGTCATTGATCTTCTAAGTTGGGTCCTGCATGGGAGAATGGTGAGAGCAGGCTGAGATCTATACACTTAGCCATGCAATGACTGATCTTGCCACAGGATACTGATTCTATTATCATAGTGGGTATATACATGTAGAGACTACAATGTATAGAGGTTTTGCACAGCAGCCATTTTGCATGGCAGGAACAATAGATTCTTTTTCCTATGGGAAAAAAATGTTCTTCCTAAACGCAAAACATTTGCATTGTTCCTGCCATGCAACATGGCTGCTGTGCAAAACCCCTATTGTCTTAAACTAGTTGCAATTGAACTGCAAGTCCAAAATGATCTGAGACTAATTTTTCACTCTTTGTTACCAATTTCAGGATCTGTTTCTTTACTACTGCAACATTAGAACTAGTGAACATTGCATCATAGTTGCCACCATCAGTGTTAGTTGGACGTCTTACTGGGAAAACGGACTGAAGACCAGCTTGATTCATTGTCCATAGTAGTTCTCTATATTCCTCACTGCTGTTACTAGTGGTTGGGTAATTGTTGTCAATATTAAAGTCTCCAGCCACAACAACATGTGAACCTGAATTCAAATTTTTCATTGCTCCAGCGAGTTCTTTGGCTTGCAAAATTCTGGCCTTCACTCCATGAGGATCTAGGTGTGTGTTAATGACATAAAGATGCTGAGAGTTAAAGAAATATTCTCCAACCACAAAGCCCCTGTAATCAGTAAATTGTGCAATTGAGTAGTTGTGGTATAGTCTTGAAGCTGTCCTTACAAGTGGTATACGACTAAATATAACAATACCACCACTTTTTCCGACATAAGGTGCCAGAAAATCTGCAATAGAAGTTCTGTAATGAAATCCATGTTTTTCCATTGCTGCAATTAAAAGCGAGGCACATTTTGAAACAACTACTACTCCTGCATTCAAGATGTATGCCTCTTGAATCAGTGCAATGTCAAAATCCTTTATCCCTTCCGTGAGACTCTCGATTCTTTCACTGAGGTCGAACACAGCATGAGGGTTAAGAAAATCACACCATAAGTTGTAGCTGACCAGTTGAAGGTTCTTTTTCACATCCAAGCTAGATTCCATTTTGTTATCTTCCTGGGTGACATGATGGAATAGTAGACTTTTGTTTGTGCTGAGTCCCCCATTCAAGACATTGGAAGCAAAGAGTAAGATTAACATTGCACATGCAATCTTTCCCAAAAAGGCAGGTTTCACCAATGACCTAAGTTGCATCTGTAATGAAAATAGTTTCTTATCAGGATCAAAACATAATTATGAGACATTTATTCATGTTATAACTTGATAAAAATGTGAACCCACAACTCCATGGCAAAACACTGGCTTGGCTCGTTGCTTTTTTTTTTCCTTTTTTTGTTGTGGGGTGGGGGCTGGGGTGCAAACTTTTGTGCCATAATCACACAGTGAGTGCACCACAAGGTAAAGATCAGTCACCTGATCATATTCTGAGAAATTGTGCACCAAAATCAATGTTAAAGGGAGGAGGGACTTGCCTTTTCCGATTGTTTTTTTAAGCCTATGCTATCAAGAATTTTAAAACCACAGCAACAAGACAGTAGTATCAAGAATGTGATCAATATTTCATAAGTGACTAACTAAAGAATACATAAACATAATTTTCAATTTTTGTTTCAAATCCTCGAGTCGCATAATCACAAATTGTATAGACTATGTTTAGGCACACCGAGGTCCACCCTACGAGCAGAGCCTCTATTAGCTCTTTTTGCACATGTACCATAAGAAAAGGCTCTGCTTGCAGGGTGACCGAGGCTCTATCCACGCTTATGAATTTTGTATGTGTTTTCGCTACACACTTCCCATGCACAATACTATTTACACAGCGTTTTCCCTGCCCCCACTCAAATGCTGATTGAAAGTGTTTCACTAATGTGAAATGAGAAAACACCACCACTGTCATTTGCACATGCACACATACAGTGTGAATAAAGTCAGTGCATTGTCATAAGCCTGGCTCCATTCTTGCTGTCCACTGTAATACAATAGGGATTCGTTTTCAAATGTCTCAACACAGGACAGCATTATTTTCAAATGTAAGTTTTTGATAAAAACAACGAATTTCAATTGCTTTAAGCCCTGGCCAAACGGATTCATTAGTAGACTCAAGTTGAAAACTTGGGTCGACTTGCGACTACGTTTGGCTAGGCCTTGGGTGCAATTGCATTGACTTGAGATAACTTAATTACATCAGCAGTTTAACCAATTTAACTTTTCATTAGAATCTTCCTTTTTCATTCATTCATTTACACATCAGAATGTATGTGTTTTTCAAATGAAAAGGCATTAGTGGATAGGTCAAAGTTACGTAATTAAACTTGCTTACTAAAATTATTTAAATCAAAAAAAGCCCTAGGAACTCTTACTTACCGCAATTGTATTATTTCGCATTTTTAGCTATTTTTAGAAGGAAAAACCTAGAAAAAAAACATTTTGAATATGGTCGACTTTTCGTGTAGCGGCCGCGTTATCTTTTGTTCTTCTGTTTGTTGCCAAGAGCATTCTTTAGGTTTGTCTCCAAAATGAAAAGCCACAATCCTCTCCATGCCACATGGCATCTAGTTGGCGGTGTTTGTTTCCGTGCCGTTTTTCTACCTGAATATATTTTCCCAGCAGCCCCTTGGGTTAAGCAAACGACACAAACAAAGCGGTGTCACTGGCACGGAAACAAACACCGCCAACGACCGCCAACTAGATGCCATACGCGCCTGGGCATTCAACAAACAAAATGGCGGCTCGGTTGCGAGGTCCAGTGAGCGCTGTAAAGAGTAGGAGGAACCAGAAATGACTTTAAGCAGTCGACTAATAAGGTATGATATTCTAACTGTTTTTATTTATTTATTTATTGGTACATAATTCCGTCGGGAAATAATCAGGTGAACTCATTTCTAGTGACCGTACATTTTCCATTTTAGCAATTTTTAGTGTACAAGCCAGAGCTTAAGTTAATTTAATATTCTTAGAGCTGTAAACAGTGTAGTTTGAAAAAGGATCGAAAGCAGCCGAAAGAACAACAACAATTCGCTCAAGTTACCAATTTTTCGCCCTTTTGAGTTGGGAATAAATCCATGTCGTGGTTTGAAGACAACTATTTTACATCAACAATCATTATTGTGTACGGTATCGATGGTCAAATCGTTCCGCAGTGTAGTCAGATCGTTCCACTTACAACAAGTTTCCGAAACGATTCTCAAAATGATTGCTCCACTTGTGAGCTTTGAGTTCTGAGTACCGAGCCACACATGTATATTTCTGTAACTATGACACATTCAGTCACTCCACATAAGCTTATTTCTCCGCGTAATATTGAAATCTTTTACTGATGAGACCTTCATCAAGCCAGCCAATTAATCACATAAAGACCATTGTACTCCCCATAAGTGACACAGAGCTGTGTAGGCCTTTCTCTGGTTCAAAATTTTCATTATCTGAGTGTTTTCGACATTATTTTCTTTTATTGGCCATGTGATGGCCAGGGTCGTTGTACTTGTGTGTAAATGTAATGACAGAGATTGTCAGAAATTCTGAAAGCAGTGTTTAACTAAAATAAAAGGTACCACAATTTGATTGGCTAGCAGCCCGTCAATCCAAAAGTGACATCAGAAATTTGACATTCATGCAAAGTGCGACATCCAGAACCCGACAAGATCAAAATACATATGGTCGAGTCCGAGGAAGTTCGAATTTTCTGTTCCCTCGTCTCACCCCCTCCCTCTGCTCCGTATTTTTTGCACTCGCTCGCAGTTTCGTTCTTTTCGCATGCTTTTTTGGAAATGCCTGCTATGCAGGCTAGCTCGATTTCCGCCACTCTCTCGACTCGCAAGTCCAGTTAGCCTGAGTTGCCAGAGCATCTGTTTTTTTTTTTCGTTTCTGTGTACTTCTAGCTAGTTTTCCGTACATGCAGCTTTTATAACCAATTGAGACTAAATTTATGAAGAAAAATTAAAGAAAAAGGGAAAAAAATCCAGAAAGCAAAAATTGAATAAGCTATCCACAAGTGG